GTTTTAAAAGGCATGCCTGCTGTCTGGAGCAGCTCAGGAAGGACACCTCGCCTCCCCAAGACCTCTTCTAGTACAAGCCCCTCCTGTGTTTACACTGAGCCCCAGTCTCTGTGTGTGGGTGCTCTGTTTCTGGCAGTTTCTCAAACAGGAGAGCCGGAAATGAGCTGAGGGGAGAAGGGGAAGGAATGCAGCAGAGGGGACAGCGTGTGGGCTGGTGGCCACCTCCCGCGGAGTGGCCCGGGCGGGCTCCTTCTCGGGTTCCGGGAATCAGGGCTCCCCCAGGGCCCTCACAGCCGAGCCCTCCACACGCTCCCCACAGGAGTGTCCTAGGGGCGTTGGCAGAGGCACGGCGACACTGAGCGGCTGCGGGCACTGACTTCTTCAGAACAGGAAAGGGCCGGGTGGGGGTGGCAGGAACTGTGAGGAGCCACCCATCTGGGTTGAGTCACAAACACCGTGACCCTGGGGAAGTCACTTGGTCTCTTGTATCATACACCACACAAGAGAGGGGCGGCTCAGAATTGATGTCATTCCTGTGCAGACAGGGCACATGGTCGTCCCTACAGCAATGGCCCTTGAAAGGACCCTGGTGTCTCCAGGTCCCTGGAGATGGGTCAGCTGGGGAGGGGTCCACCTGCCTCAGTACTGGAGAACTTTTTGACTCAAAAGACCCAAATTCCAGGAGACTGATGACTTCCCTGAGGCGGGACAGGAGAAAATGACCCTCTGTCTCCCACTCCAACCATCTCAGCAGGCTGGGTAGAAGCAGCAGTCCCAGGCGGGTCCTGTCTGTCAGGAAGAGAGAAGCCAGCGTCCTGTGGGGCAGGGCTGTGGCCAGGGACCCTCCAGGGAGCGGGCGCAGCCAGCCTCCAGGCCCCATTCACGTTCTCAAACACGACATCTGGGCCAGCCTGTGCCTGCTCCCAGCTCACTCACTGCACACCCCAAGCCACGTGGTGCTGCTGTTATCCCTGTTTGGGGGGAACCACGTCCCAGGCCCCCAATGGAAGCTCTGGTGGTCATGTTGCTGTGAGCCTGGGATCTCAGGACCTTACGATTTTAGGACTTGAAGTGTATCGGTTATCTATTGCTGAGTAACAAAAACCGCCGGCGTGGATTTGCCCACAGTTCTGCAGTTCGGGCAGAGCGGGGCAGGACCTGGACCGCTCGTCCCTGCTGTGCGCGGTGCAGGCTGGGCGGACAGACTGGCCTCCCTCAGTCTGGCTCTCCAGTGGGGGTGGCCCAACAGCCAGGGGCCGGCCTTTCTCCTGCCTGCGTGGTCCTCTGGCTTCTCCCCCGGGGCCTCTCTAGCAGGGTAATCTGCTTTCCTCTGGCCTCCAAGCTGGACAGTATGGACACTGCAGGGCCCCTTACGGCCTAGGCCTGGAATCTCTGTCACTTCCACCTCATCCTACTGGTCAAAGCAAGTCGCACACAGGCCACCCAGACTCCAAGGAAGGGGAGATCGTGGGCCTCGGGCCCAGGTTACCAGCTGGGCAGGGATTATGGGCAGCCATCCTGGCTGACCTTCGTCCACCCAGGGACCCTCCCCTTCGAGCGGACCACTTGCCTGCTGAGGGGCTCCTGGGTGACGGGTGGAGAGTGGATGGCGACCCAGAGAGTACAGAGGAGGGAGGGCCCCGGAGCTTCGGGGCTCAGCCGCAGTGGGAGGGGAAGGATCGGCTGGCTCTGGCCACCCAGGGGCGCCAGGGGCCTCGGAGCCCCTCTCTTCAAGCCTCGGTCTTTTCCCCCAGGCCCCATCCACCCTGCTCGGGCTTCGGAGGGTGAGATGGCCGAGCCCCAGTGGAGAATGAGGCTGGGCCTGCTCGTCCTGCTGGCGATGACATTGTCCGCGCCCTGCCTTGGCTCTGCTCTCGCCCTGCACCGGCCCTGCCTGTGCCTCCCCAGTTCTGAGAAAATTCCTAGGGACAGCTCCACCTCAGCCCACCCCAGCCTCTCAGGTTCTGAGAACACGCTGTCCCCAGATAATGACGTCCACAGGGGTCGGTGGGGAGACAAGGCAAATCCTTCCCCCAGCTCCATCCCCCAAGACCCCGGGAACTGCACAGTGGCCGCCCAGGACAGGCCCTGGAGCACAGTGTTCCCTCTGCCTCTCATTACGCCCAGACCTCCCAGCCCTAGTCCTGGCTAGGGGCAGGGGTCAAACAGTCTGAAGGGGGGTAGCGGGGAACCCAGGCAGTGGTCTGGCCTTGGCCTCAGGGTCACACGCACTGCTATGGATTGAAGGCCATGGTCACAGGGTCTTATCCAAGGGGCTTCCTATGGCTCTGGGCAGGCCCCAGCCTCTCTCTGAGCCTGGTGTCCTCACTGGTGTAATGGGGGTAGGCTGAAACTCACTGGCCTCAAAGTCCATCCCAACTAGAAGATTCCATGACCCTAACCTTCCAGAAGGGGAGGAGAAGTCACTGAGAAGGACTGAGCAGACAGAGTCGGGGTGATGATGGCGCTCACTGTGTTCTGAGCTCCCACTGTGCACGGACTTACTGAACCCTCACGGCGCGGTGAGCGGGTTCATTTCCTCTTCCCGTTTCACTAGAGGACTCAGAGGCACAGGCAGTTAAGTGACTAGCCCACAGCCTCAGTGATGGCTGAATTCGATCCCTGCCTTCTTTTTTTTCTTTCTTTTTTTCATTCCTCACCCGAGGATATTTTTTCATTTATCATCAGATAGAGTGGGAGGGACAGAGGGAGGGAGAGAGAGAGAGAGAGAAACAGCGATGTGATAGAGACACTGCCTCCTGCACGAGCCGACCAGGGCTGGGGACGAACTGTGACCAAGGTGCGTGCCCTTGAGGGGAATCGAGCCTGTGACTCATTGGTCTGCAGGCCGATGCTCTAACCGCTGAACCAAACCGGCCAGGGCGATCCCTGCCTTCTTAATCCAGAATCGTGTACCATCACATGGCTGAGGTGTTTTGAAACTAGATTTGTTTTTGAGTCCCTGAGCCTTTCCTAGTGCCAAGTCTCTGTCCTTCACGTGGCTGCTCACAGGAAGTGTACAATAGCCACAAACCTGCCTGCAAAAGCATGTGGCAGGAGCTGCAGAACAGATGGGTCAAGGCACTGGGGGGCCTCACGTGTCTGTGCTGTGCCAGTCGGGTGGTGATGGGGGCAGGGGCATCGGCACATGGGACAGTGACTGGGATGGAAGGGTCTGGAAACCCTGCCATAGGAGGAGCCAATAAAGAACCTGGGAGGAGAAATGGTGGAGGGACTCTTGCCAAAGTTTGAAGGACCATGGTGCCAGTGCAGAACGGACTTGCTCCGACCAGTTCCAGGCGGCGGGGTCCAGGATTTCTAGCATCCAAAGCTGTCCGGTGATAAAGAGCTACCATGGGAGAGAGTGAGTGTCCCCCACAAGAGGCGTGTCATCAGAGCTGCGTGGGAAGGGGGGCCTGAAGAGATGACCTTGAGGCCCTCTCCCCCAGGAGAGGTTGCATGTGTGAGGTTCATTGGAGCCCCATTTGGACATTGCCAACAGCCTCAGGGTGTGCATGGGTTAAAGGTCCGTGGCGGAGCCTCCTGCTGCCAGCTCAGCCCCCCAGGCAGAGAGGTAGCCCTTTTCGTGTTGTCCACCCCACATTTTGAGGGTGACACTGTCTCTTCTTTCAGTTTCACTAACCAACCCGGCTATAACTGAACAGCCAGGTGCCCTGATCAGGGCTCACAGCAGCATTCTGTTAATTACATTTCTGGTCACCAAAAGGACCAGAGAACCTGCTGACCTAAAGGACCTCGGACCCGTGGCTTTCCAGGGAAACCAGACTGGATGTTCCAAAGATTGCCTTCCAGGTATAGGCGGTGCTGCTGCAGGGCTGTGGGCAGGGACTTGGCAGCTATGAGGATGGAATCTCGCTCATGGGCCCCAGGAGCTGAAGCTGCACAGATGGATAGGCTGTGAGTGGGCATCACTGGGCTGTGCCCCCACCTCTGTTTATGGCATCTTTGCCAAAGCAGGCGCTAGCTGTGGGATGAGAGCAGAGGGCAGGAGTCAGCAGAGGGGTCTCTGGGTGGGCCGTGCCGAGCCCTGCCCTCCATGTGGTGACCCTGTGAAATTTTGCCATATGAGCTTGTGGGGAGTGCCCAGCTGGGTTTTGTGGGTGCAGGGAGGTGTGTTGTGTGTACACCTGGGGTGTGTCTGTGGGTCACTGTGTACAAGGCTTGGTGTGTGTGTATGTGTGGGAGTGTGCGTGTGGGTGACACCAGGCTGGGGAGTGTTTCAGTGGGTGCACCTATGGCAGATGGGGGGCCCACTCCATAGGAGCACCAGGCATGTGCCACAGGTCTGGGGGTTTCTATTATTCTCCACTGGCATGACCTCGGGTGTGATCCAGCCTGTTCCCCTAGGGAATCTAGCCCCCGAACCTCACTCCAGCAGGCCGTGTGCCTGGGCTGGCCATGGGCTGCAGGGGGTGTCACTTACTTATCTTCCACCTGGTGACTCAGTCTAACAGCATCTGTGGCATCCTTGGAGCTTGTGGGGTCCTCAGGGTGAATTACTTCCTCTATGTCCACCTTACTTTCTGGCTGAATAGTCAGCCATTGAGGGGGCCAGTCTCTTTGTGCTGTGCCTCAGTTTCCTCACCTGGGGATCAGGTGAGGCTGTGGGGGCTGCCTGGGGAAGGCAGAGGGAGGAGATAAAGCAGGTTTCTAGGGGCGGTTGCCAGGGCCCAGCTAAGTGTGCAGCTCCTGGAATGAAGGGCAGTTTGCATCCTGGGTCCCACCCGCCTGCAACACGGCAGCCCTGGCCCTGATGGGAGGACTCTTCCAGCCCAAAGGTCTTCCCCTGCCCGGCAGGCTGGCACTGTTCTCTCCAGGCTCCCACTAGTCCTCACACCACCCACGGAAGAACTTACAGATGAGGGGCTTCCCCCAGATGCGCTCATGGAGGCCAACGCAGGGGGTTCTTGAGGCTTTCTTCCTGTGCAACAGTATTCACTGAGCAGCTGTGCGCCAGGCTGTGCTAGATGCTGGGGCGCCAACAGCAAAGTCAGGACCAAGATCCGGCCCTGGCAGTGGTTTCGTTCTACCGGGGGAGACAAGCAAAAGAACCAGAAACATGGAGATGAACTAGTGCACTAGAAGGTAAAACGTTCTATGGAAAAAAGGCAGGCAGGCTGAGGGGTCAGGAAAGGGGTGGTTGGGGAGGCCCCGAATTGCATTTTCTCTGGCTCTGGGAGGAGGAGGAGCCACGTGATACCTGGGAGAAAAGCAGTCCAGCCTGGGAACAGCCAAAGCAAAGGAGGTCGATGAGCACAGGGAGCGCAGAGGGGGGACCGGGGAGGCTCCAGACCAGGCCAGGAGGGCCCTCGTGTCCCCTGAAGGACTCAGGCCCTCCTGTGGGTAAGACAGGAGCCCGCAGGGTGTGAGCTGAACAGGGAGGTGATATCACTCCAGGGTCATCCTGGCTGCTCTGTGGAGCAGGAGCAGAGCAGAATCACCAGTGGAGAAGCGATGGCAGGAACGGAGAGAGCAGTAGAGGGGTGAGCGTGCAATTCTGGAGTCCCCAAGATTCCCTGCTGTGGGAGGAGCCAGGAGGAATGGGGAGGGGCCTCTGCAATGTGCAGTTTCTTCAACTTTTTTCATCTCTGCACCCTGGCATATAGTAGTCCTTCTTCTCAGAGAACTTTTCTGGAAAAACTCCTACTTATCCTTCAAGACCCAATCCATGTATTCCCTCCCTTTGGAGGCCACTCTGACTTCTGGTTCCCAGAGGCCTTGCTCATGCCCCATTTGGAGAGTACCCACCTCAGTGGGGTGAGAGAGCCAGGAGTCCCTCACCTGGGTCCTGAACTCTGAGAATCCAATAATAGCCACTGAGCATCTCCCAGAAAAACACATACATGTACACATCCACACATACAGACAGGCACACGCACACTTGCACACACAAGAATACTCATACCTGGGTGTGCACATTCACATGCTCACAAACACACCATGCTACAAGGAATTTTAGGAGATTCCGGGGCCCTGACCCTCAGGTCATGAAACCTTGTCTAACCCATGCCCCCTACTTTCAGGCCTGCTGAAAGGGCCTGTGCAAGTCCGCCCAGACAGAGGGGCTGACCAGCAGGACTGGGCTCCAACACCCAAGCTGGTGCGTCAGGAGATGCCTGCCTTAGGGCCTCTGTCTCTGAGCACTGAGCTAGGTACCAGGGAAACCCCTTCTCATCCTTGTGCCCAAAGAGCTCCCAGGAAGGCCAGGATACCAGACAGGATGTGATCAGGGTCCTAAGAGGGTCCCAGACACTTGTGGTGGGCCACAAGGTGAAATTCAGGGGAAAAAAAGTCAGAGGAAACCGTGAGCTGCACCCTGGAGGCTGAGATGGTGGAATGAATACTTAGAGATGGGGCTGGGGAAGGCTTGTGGGCAGAGTCCAGTAGCAGCAAAGGCCTTGAGGTGGGTACTCTCCAAATGGGGCATGAGCAAGGTCTCTGGGAACCAGAAGTCAGAGTGGCCTCCAAGGGGAAGGAATACTTGGATTGGGTCTTGAAGGACGAGTAGGAGTTTTTCCAGAAAGGCTCTCTGAGCAGAAGGACCAGTATATGCCAAGGTGCAGAGATGAAAAAGTTGAAGAAACTGCAAATATTCCAGAGGGCTGCTTGCTGTGTGCTTTAGAGAGGGGCTCAGGAATGAATGAATGAATGAATGAATGAATGGAGTGCATGTGGGGGAGGGTAGGAGAGGATGCCAAGTCTAGTGACTTCATCCAGCAGGTATTGAGGAAGGAAGGGGACCAAACACTAATTGAATACCACTACTGCCAGCTAGCTGTCAGGAAGCCACCACCCTCATGCCCGTTCTGCAGTAGAAGCAGCCAAGCTCACACTGCCTGCAGCCCAGGATCAGGGGACTCCTACCTAGAGACCCAGGGCTAGGCATGAGATGACTGGGGGAGGGTGGAATGTGAATGTGCACCCTCGGGGATCAGGCAGCAGTTCCTGAAAGAGATAACAGACTTAGCAATTGTTCCCAGAGCCAAATCAGGTCCAGGTGAAAGGGGACAGCAGAGCTGTAAGGTGACACCGCTTGGGTTGGCTAATCTTGTATCTCCTCTCAGCTCTAAGCTTGCACAGCTTCCTTGTCAGGCAGCCTAGCCCCAGAGGAGGGGGTGGGGAGTGAGGACCACCTACTGAGCCCCAGCCCTCCCCCACACCTCCTTTGATGGCATGGGGAGAGGATTGGAAGGGAGGGAGAGGATGGCGAGGTCCGGATTCCACTGATGCACTGTCACGGCAGGGCAGTAATTATCCCCATTTTCCAGACGAAGAAACTGAGGCTTAGGGCACAGAAATGATGAACATCAGAGGGAGAAAGAAACATTAATTTCTTGTTTTATGTTTTGTTTTTTTTTTAAATCCTCACCCAAGGATATTTTTTGCATTTATCTTCAGATAGAACTGGAGGTAGAGAGGGAGAAAGAGAGAGAGAGAGAGAAACATAGAAGTGAGAAAGACAACTAGTGGTCGCCACCCACATGACCCAACTGGGGCTGGGGACAAACTGCACCTGGGGTACGTGCCCTTAGTGGGAACTGAACCTGGGACTCTCCGGTCCGAGGGCCGATGCTCTAACCACTGAGCAAACCGGCAGGGCTTGTTTTACGTATTTATGCTTGATTCCTGTATGTGCCCTGACAGAGATGGAACCTACAACCTTGGTGTATCAAGGTGACACTCTAACCAACTAGGCTACCTGGCCGGGGCCTTGAACCCAGGTCTTGGTCACAATAACTTCAGCTTCTGCCCTTGTCCGCACCTCCTGCGTGCCACACCTCTATCAGTGCTGGAGGGAAGAGGCTGAGAGGGAAGCCCGGGGGAGTTGTTCCCACTTCTGCTCAGCTCTTTCAGAGGTGGGCTCCTGGTGCTGCAGGGCCTGGGCGGGAGGGTGGAGCAGAGGCCTGTGTGTGACTGAGCAAGTCACTTGTCATATCTGTCAGGCTGGGAGTGCAAGCATTTGTCACACACAGCTCCCTAGACACCGTGAGAGCACAGTGGGCAGACAGAGGCTGACCTCCATGGGGCCCCAGCCAAGAGCTGACTCTTTCGGCCTCCCAAGAAGCTTGGGAATCTGGAAGGACCAGAGAACAAAGGCCAGAGGAGCGGGAGGATGGTGCCGCTTCCTGAGCGGCCAGTTCCGGGCAGGGCAGGGCAGTTCCACTGCTCCTCCACACAACTGCCCCGGGTGGGGGCGGGGGCTGCCTTGGGTCCCACCCCCTGGCCGTGGCCCAGTGAGGGATGCAGGGTAGAGCCCCCTCAAGCAGGGCTTTGGGGACACAGCTTTCCCAAAGTGGCCATTTTTAGACAGATCAAAATGGACAATCACTGTTTTGATAATAACAGGTAGTATGCACATAGGTGGCATTAATTTACTCTTTTTTTTTTTACCAAATATTTACTGAATGCTTCCTGTGTGCCCAGCCCTGTGCTCTGGGCTCAGGAGACAGTGGCCCTGCAGTCACGGTGCAGCTAAGACAGTCTGGGGGACAGGCCCCAGGGGGGCACCTCGTGCATAGGGATCAATTTCACCCTCCTTATTCCCATTTCACTGACAAGGAAACTAAGAGCTAAGCAACTTGTACCAAACCCTAGACTGAAACCAGTTATCACTGTGCGATAGGCCCCTCCCCACAGTCCTTACCTCTCCCTCTGCCCCATGGGCAGGGCCTGGGGTTCAAAGATGGGTAAGCATGTCTATTATGTACTTTATTTAGAAAAACGAAAGGGAGTCAAGCTCTAAGTATAATGGATTGGTTTTTAGGTCACAACAAAATGGCCTCACATCAAAAATGTCACGAGGGTAAAATCCTTACTTAGAGGGAAACAGGGTGGCTGGGGCCATGGCTGGGAAGTTTACATTATTACTGTCTGGTCTTACTGGACACCCTTCAGTAGTTTTCACATTTGCACTGTGTGGCTATTAACTATTCACCCAAATCGATGAACTATTTTCAAAGGACAAAAAGGCATATTTTCAAAGAACTAAAAGCCAAGGCGGGGGCCGAAATACTTACTTTCTTACTTCCTGGTCTTACTGGACACCCTTCAGTAATTTTCACATTTGTACTGTATGGCTATTAACTATTCACCCAAATCAATGAACTATTTTCAAAGAACAAAAAGGCATATTTGCAAAGGATAAAAAGCCAGGGCGGGGGCCAGGATACTTGTTTTCTGAGCTTACTGGACATCCTTCAATAATTTTCAAATTTGCACTGTGTGGCTATTATCTATTCACTCGAATCAATGAACAATTTTCAAAGGACAAAAATGCATATTTGTGGCCCAGGCTTTGATCCAGACCTGTATGGTTCATAGCTTTTTGGGGAGCAGAGCTTGTCATGGGCAGAAAGAGCACACATTGGGTGACAGACAAATGCTCCAGACCGCCCTGGCATATTGGCAAAGGCAGTGAAGAGGAAAAAGCCCCACAAACCTGGGTTTAAGTCCTGGTTCCAGGGTTCCCCAGTCTTGTTACCTTGGGCATGACACGTCACCTTCTCTACTTTGCTGGGAGCTGTGTAAATGAAGGAATATGATAATCTGTGCCCAGCCTAGTGCTTGGGGGTGTAGGGAAGGAAAGCATTCTATTCTTCTAGTTTCTCTTGCTGGTCAAATCAACCTAAGACACATTGACCAGAGAAAAACAAACTTAATTTCGTACATACTGGGGCCCCATAAGAATATGAGACCAAAGGAGGAGTCAGACAATTGAGGCTCATATGCTATTCTGAGCTAAGGAATGGAAGAGGAGTCTGGGGCTTCCAAGGGGAGAAGGGTAATTCACAGGATGAGAAGAGCAGATGTCTGATATTTAGGTATTTGTCCCGCTCTACAGAAAGAGCATTCAAATAAAAGTCATCTCTCTTTTCTAAACCAGGCTCCCATCTATATATTTTCAGGTAATTAAGGAAGAAGTAAACATTTTTCTTGAGTCTGCTAGGTCTTGATTGCTCAAAATCATCCACATGCCAAAGTGGCACATTTTGGGGAGGCACATTCTGAACGCCTTCAGGGGCCAGCCTCGAGGTTTCTGAGGTGTCCACAACAAATCCACGGGGGAGCCAGACCTGACTCAGGCT